GTACACTTTCGCGAAATTCTGTATTTAATAGCAATATTCCGATGGTGAAAATCCGCACAACAATCTTATGTAGTTAATATAAATAAGATGGAGGAAAACTGGTGCTGCCACTCTATTAATACAATTTGTATTTCAACTTTAAAAACACCCAAATAATGCACAAGAAATATACTTTTGTCTGCTCCTTTTCTTCGCACGCAGAAAGGAGTATTCTACGTAGTGAGGGTTATAATCTCTAAGCGCGGCCGAAGGCCGCCTACACAGAAATGTGTCCTCTGCAAAAGGTGTTCTGCCCCTTTTCTTTGGCAACACAGAAAGGAGAGTTCTACGTTGTGAGGGTTATAAACCCTAAGCGCGGCCGAAGGCCGCCTACACAGAAATGTGTCCTCTGCAAAAGGTGTTCTGCCCCTTTTCTTTGGCAACACAGAAAGGAGAGTTCTACGTTGTGAGGGTTATAAACCCTAAGCGCGGCCGAAGGCCGCCTACACAGAAATGTGTCCTCTGCAAAAGGTGTTCAGCCGCTTTTCTTTAGCAACACAGGAAGGAGAATACGTAGTGAGGGTTATGATTCCTAAGCGCGGCCATAGGCCGCCTACGCAAAAAGGAGTTGGACGCACAAAAACTTTTTTATAGAGTGGCACCACTAGTTTTCCTCCATCTGATTTATATTAACTTCACGAGATTTGTTGTGCGGATTTTCAGTATTGCAATATTCCAATTTAATACAGAATTTCGTAAAAATTTAAAACAAAAATGTAAATTTCCGCTCTCGGATTATTGTTGTTCGCATTAAAGCGCGTCGATTGATACCCCTCTTGAATGTTTTTCATCAATTTTGGCCTGGTTCCGCTAAAGCTCACTTTTACCCAAAATTTTGCCTAGATATTCAAAAATATTCAGGAAATGCTTCCTCGATAATTTCGCCCTAACTTTCAAGTTTTTCTATACATATACTAAATAACAAATTATACACTCAATGCTAACAAAATAATTAGCAAATTGATTTAAAAAGTGGATATGTGGATCATCCGGTTCTGTATCAATTTATTCTCTTTAACTACAAAGCACTTCCATTAAAAAAGGGTAAAAGCCTGGCTGTATTCCACAATGGGCGAAAATGGATTCAACGGTAAACTGTAAATAAATTTATAATTCAATTGTTTATCGCTTTGTCTTTAGGTTTGTGTCTTCTAAGCGTACATCGAAGATCCAATCTGATAAAACTATAGACCGGTTTGGTGAACATCCAAAAAGTTTACTTCTTAAGTAATTATAGCAAATGGCAGAAAACACATAGCGCACATAAATTTCTATAATAAAAATAACATATTAGAGGCTGCTAATATATCTATTTTAAATCATAGTTAAATCATTAGTTAAACTTTACTACAGAATAATTACACGGAATTTTCTGTAGTTGAGTTTAACTAATGATTTAACTATACTTTAAAATAGATAAGTTAACGGCCGTTAATGAATTTTTTATTTATTACACAGTGTGACAAAAACCAAATCAAGTAATATATTTAGCATAAATGAATATACCAGCTTAAAAATCGGAATAATCGAAATGTTCAATACGTCCTCATATTTATACATACATATGTATATAATTTAAGAGAAGGTATTTCGCTGCAAAGCAACGATTATAAATTGTTAGTTTACCTTACAAAATTGCGGAAGAATATTACAGTTTATTTTTGTATATTTTTTATTTTGAATAACACTATTTTGAATGGCACTGACACCATCGGAAAGAAAAACCGCGCAGTCTGTTCTGTCTTTTCCAAGTTGGACAAGGAACNATCATCGGTAACAAAAACCGCGAAGTCTGTTCTGCCTTTTCCAAGTTGGATAGGGAAGCAAAGCGCATGGGTCTGGTGGTAAACGAGGACAAGACGAAGTATCTCCTGTCATCAAACAAACAATTAGCACATTCGCGCTTTGGCACCCACATCAGTGTTGACAGTTATAATTTCGAGAAAGTAGAGAATTTCGTTTACTTGGGAACCAGCATTACCGCGAATAACTCTTGCCAACAAGTGCTACTTTGGACTGAGTTGGCAATTCAGAAGTAAAGTCCTCTCTCGACGTACGAAAACTAAACTCTATAAGTCACTTATCATGCCCATGCTGGTATATGGCGCAGAAGCATGGACAATGACAACATCCGATAGGCGGCTCTTGGAGTATTCGAGAGAAAGTCTTTGCGGAAGATTTACGCGCCTTTACGCGTTGGCGACGGCGAGTACCGCAGACGATGGAACGATGAGCTGTATGAGCTTTACAACAACATGGATATAGTGCAGCGGATTAGAATACAGCGGCTCCACTAGCATGAATATGCCGTTCGAATGGACACCGACGCTCCAGCTCTGAAAATATTATTGTTTTCACTTGTTTCAATTGGCGTNATGGATATAGTGCAGCGGATTAGAATACAGCGGCTCCACTAGCATGAATATGCCGTTCGAATGGACACCGACGCTCCAGCTCTGAAAATATTCTTGTTTTCACTTGTTTCAATTGGCGTCAGTTGGCACAGAAAAGAAACGACAGGCGTGCTTTGTTGAACTCGGCCAAAATCGCTTTGGCGGTTACAGCTCCAAATAAGAAGAAGAAGAAGAGAATATACCTATAACCTTATCAGTCACACAGTGTATAGTCCCGACGAAATCCTTGACGGTGGTACCGGGAGATGAATGGTACATGACGGTAGGAAGTTTAGTTTGGGTTAAAGTCTCACACTGACGGGGTTAAGCTTTCGATACTTCCTCCTTGTAAACTAAACATACGCAGTAAAATGTTAACTATGTGTTTAAATCGACGAATAGTTTTATATCAACTTTTGTGAACTTCTGTTTATGTGTTTTTGTACAACCTCTATTGGTTACAATAATTTTAAGCTATAATAAACAATTTTTTAGTAAGTTATTGGTTTTGAAATTTTTTTATTTTTGTATTTGTGTCAAAATTTCATTCTGGCTACGCCCATGCTATAGTCCGCCTGACGGTTCGGCCTGGCTTCGGCTTCAGCCTTCAGCCAAAAATGCAAGGGTCACAAGGTGTTGTATTTGTTGTGAAGTTACATTGTTTAACGACAATTGTTAAAATTTTGTTCTTGTTTCGNTTTTAGTAAGTTATTGGTTTTGAAATTTTTTTATTTTTGTATTTGTGTCAAAATTTCATTCTGGCTACGCCCATGCTAGAGTCCGCCTGACGGTTCGGCCTGGCTTCGGCTCCAGCCTTCAGCCAAAAATGCCAAAAAGGGTCACAAGGTGTTGTATTTGTTGTGAAGTTACATTGTTTAACGACAATTGTTAAAATTTTGTTCTTGTTTCGCATATCTAGAAATTTAGTTTTATACAATTGTGAATAACACTTTTGAAAATGTAAGAACTCTATATATTAAAAAAATTCATAAAAGTGATACGATTGCGTTTTGCTGTAATTTTGTAGAAATATGAGCGCCATTTGGAAGTTTTTCAACAAAAAAATTCAACTGCGATTCACGATCCAGAAAATAAAGGTCGCGCCATTCGCGGACCGCTAACCCTAATGCGTTGTGCCGACAATTTTCAAGCCTGCTGCGGAAATACCAGATCCTGACAAGGAAGCCCAGCAGCAAGTGTACAAAACCATTGTGAGCGATCTACTGGAGCAAACATTAGCTTCTCTGTGTTTGTATACATAAAGGGCCCTTTTCAGGGCCGCAAAGAATTTACAAGGGGATCAAATGCGTTATATAAGCTTATCTGGGTCTACATACACAATACCATATATACACAAAAGGCCCTTTTCAGGGCCGCAAAAAATTAACAAAGAGATCAATTTTTGACTGTCGTGATAATGAATAAGAAATGTAAATATCGTCGTCTAAAGTACAAAACCGCGTATCAACAAAATGCAAAACCGCGCATGTGAGGTTGAGGNCATACACAATACCATATATACACAAAAGGCCCTTTTCAGGGCCGCAAAAAATTAACAAAGAGATCAATTTTTGACTGTCGTGATAATGAATAAGAAATGTAAATATCGTCGTCTAAAGTACAAAACCGCGTATCAACAAAATGCAAAACCGCGCATGTGAGGTTGCATAAATCACCANAACACCTTGCTTATATAAAACATCTCCCTAGTTTTTACATGTTAAAATGTTAACAAACATAACTGTAATGGATTTACTAAATTTGACGCAATTAGTATTCTTTGTTTGCAAAGACCTATAAATTGAATCCGGANCCTAGTTTTTACATGTTAAAATGTTAACAAACATAACTGTAATGGATTTAATAAATTTGACGCAATTAGTATTCTTTGTTTGCAATAAACGGCAACATTTCATTACGATGTATTTTTTATTTATTTGCTATTTGAAAAAGCTTTTTATTTATACATACTGACCTTTTGCTTCCTACCGGAAATGTTAAGCCGTATGCATAAAAACTAAGCAATTGCTTTTTTCTTGAAATNTATTTGAAAATATAACACGTTCCCCTGATAAAGCTTTTTATTTATACATACTGACCTTTTGCTTCCTACCGGAAATGTTAAGCCGTATGCATAAAAACTAAGCAATTGCTTTTTTCTTGAAATTGCATACCTTTCACTTAAATTTGTTTGAACATAATATTTGAATTATTAATAAACAAGCACATGTACTTATTGCTCATAACAATTTCTATTTTATTTAGTTTTAAACTTTTCTTTATATATTTGTGATTACATAAATCGGTTCTCGTGTTATTACACAGGATCATCTCTACTTTTTATAGAAAATTTTGAAAAAAGGGGAAACTAAGTGAGGTAATTTTATTATTGGCAGAATTAGTGTCTAACCCTACGTGACTGTTTCTAAAAGCTATCGTGTTTCACGTGGCATATAAGACTTAATTTCATTATTACATTGGTGTGATTTATATGTATGTATATGAATAGGATATTATATATTTGTGTATTTAAAAACCCACAACTTTAAGACCGCGCCTCTGAACTTGTTAAAATCTTGCCGTGTCACAAACATATTCGTTACTAGCAAGGAGCCCANTGTTAAAATCTTGCCGTGTCACAAACATATTCGTTATTAGCAAGGAGCCCAGTTTCGCTGTACTCGAGCGAACAGTGCTAGCAGCAATTGGTGACTGCCCGAATTGATCCCGACGCGCTTTTTGTTGTTTGAGATTTTCTATACGCACTTCTAGTATCTGTTTGAAGTCGGTGCCCATGCTGGCTAATTTAGATTGTAACGCATACACCATGATGTAAGTCAATTCTTGAATCTCTTGCGGTCGATCATCAAAAATACTCTTCTTTTTGGCCACTGCAAAAGAAAAGGTAAAGTAATATTTATAATTAAGAACACCTATTCATTTTATACTCACGCATTGTTAATTTTTCCAACTTGGCATATGCACTTGCTATGTTTTTGCCAATATATTTGTGACCATCATAAATTCCTTTATTTGGCATACGTAAATTGTTGCACCATAGCCTTCTACTTCGAACTTACTTGTAAGTCTCTAATCTGTTGCTCGTACATAAATTGCGTCTGCGTCAAGGTCTCTATACGATTGCCGCCTTGGTTTGCATTGGCCTTATCCGACAACTGGCGTATGATAAGCTGCGCCATTTCCAACTCATTTGACTTTTCTTTGAACTGATGTTCA